CTAGCCGACGATGCAAGTATCATCTTCGAAAACACCGGAGATCTTCTCAAAAGTATGAAGAATTTCGCTGGTAGCGTCGGAGAGCAGGAAAAGAAGCATCCATACGGAAAAGGATCGAGTGCTGCAAGAACTTATGGTGGTGGAATGAAGAACTCAGCCAGCGCATTCACTCGTTCCGGAGATCAATTCGACAAGTTGTTCGCTGCTTGCTCAGCTTTCAAAGATCACATCAACTCAGCCATTCTTGCCAAACTTATTAGTTTCAAGGATATCGAATGTAAGGATATCGATCAACATATGACACANCTGACCCTCGGAAATCGGGGGTGAGTTCAAATTTCGTCTCGTTTTCCTATTTCTTTTGCTTTTTGTAGTGTTTTCTCGTTGAAACTCGGTATTTTTCGCTTTAATTTTCTAAAAACTGGCATAAAAACCTTTAAAAATGCTCGCGCATTTCCGTTTGGTCCGTTTTCCAGTCGAAAATGCGAAAAATAAGTGAAAACTCGTTTCGAAGATAGTTTTGAAGGTTTCGTTAGTTTTTGCTTCGGAAAATAACAAATATAGCCTTTCTGGAGTTTTAACATGGTAAGTTGGTAAGTTCGCACACTTTCTGAAGCAAAAACCATCGAAAGCTTTCAATGTTTTCGTTACGTTCGCGAAAATCGCTTCACCGACACTTCGCAAGTGTGCCGTTTCGCAATGTTGATGTTTCGAAAGTTACTGTAACACAGAAGAAATACCGTTTTTCTCAATTTGTGTCTGGCTTTTCAAAACCTGTCAGTATTTAAAGTTTTTTCGAGCATTCATTGTCGCTGTGGCAAAACGTCACACTTGCGAAACTTCCCACTTTCGAAGTGTCTACTTGAAAAATGTCGCGGCACATTAAAATCAAACGATTTTCCTATTACATGCCAGTTTTTTGTGTTCGAAGTTACGAATTCTTCTATTTTCCTTACGAAACTCATAATATGAAATCAAAGCGAAAAATACTGTTCAATGAGGAGGCTTTCTGAAAAGCGAAAGAAATTGACATCGAGAAACGAAACAAGAAAGAGAACGAGAGGAAAGAAAGTTAATTTTGAATATTTGGAGTTGAGTTTTCATGAAGTTCGAAGTTTGCGAAAACATAGCAAATATATCGGGAGTTCTGTTTCATACAGAACTTTTGATTTCTTATGTGTTTCGCTGTTCTACTCATGAAAGTTGCACTTTGAATGAATCGGAGTTATTTTTTCAACAACAATACACAATCCACAGAACTATTAGTAGAAAATGCTATTACGCATTGTGAGTGATCAGAATACCCTGTATGAATAGCATTACAACTGCTGAGGAACGGGCCGTTCTTGAGGCGCAATATCTGGCAAACGGACCGTCGCCGGCGCGGAAACTGGCGCGGCGTTTGTTCTTTATTTAGCAGGTGCCGCCCCGGCGTTCGCCCGTTATCCAGCAGTCGCGCCTGGCCTGTGTGCTTGGAAGGCATCCATGCTGACCATTACACCACGAACGCGGCGAAACAGAGACATGTTGTTTGCAATGACTACGGGGAGTTTTAAGAGAGATACTGCATCCAAACGGCACCGTGCCGCGTTGAAAGTGCCTTTGGAACACCACACCCGTGCCCCTAGCAAGCATGTGGCGTGCCGCTACCGTGCCGCTGCCGTGCCCTTTCTTGAACCACCTGCGCATATCGTCTCTATCCATAGAGTTTCGAAAATGTTGCGAAAATAGCTTGTCATTCATTTTCAGAAATTTTTGTACTTTTCACCGTTTTATGGCATTTGGTTTTGTTTTTCTAGGCTTTCAGGTGGAAAATCATGAAATATATTTGTGCCAAAAATTTGCTGAGTAGAATTCGGTGAAAACGTGTCAGACAACTTCCGATGGATTTTCGGGAAGACAATTCGTCCAAAGAAATGTGAGTTTTCATCCAATTAATTATGTAAATAATCTTTAAAGTTCTTTCAGAAACACCCTGCCAAGCCCAACGCCAATAAAGCTGGAGAAGAGGAGTAGGAAAGGTACTTTCATCGAAATTCGACATCTTCGACACAATCTTCTCTACAGATTTAAATGATCGTTTTTTCTTTTTTTTTTTTGTTACTCTTTTTTTTGAATTTCTAATCGAATAAACTGTTAAATTTAAAGAAAATATTAAATTAATTGAGCCAATTTTGGGGAAAGAATTTCAAATAACGGCACACATGAGCACGGATACGGCACGGCAACGGCACGCAAAATGCATGCGTGCCCCGACCCCCCGGGCACCGGTGCCCCAAGTAGCGGCACATATGCCAAAAATTTGCTGAGTAGAATATGAAGTATACTCTTCTCAAACTCACTAAGTTCAACTGAATTTGGAGTCATAGCGTCCATGGTTCCAACATCGACCATCCACGTTGCAGTGTCTATAGTGCTCATACTCTTGAATACTGGTTTGACCAATTTCGACACTGACAAGAATCCTTTAGTAAGATCTGGCACAGGAGTCAGGAATCTGCCGACAAACCAGGATCTGGAAGTTAAATTTTTTTATTTGGAGTGATTCAGAAAGATTACCCATCTTTCAAATATCCGATTCGATCTACAATGTAAAGACAGGTGGAATTATCTTTCGGGTCTGGACATTCGATTGCTCTGGAAATAAAAATAAACATTGTTTTCAGATTTTTCTGCTATAGAAATTACACAACTCGGTTCTGTTGATTCGCAAAAATTGTTCCCTGAACCTGATCGAAAAATTCATTTTCACTCAATTCCTTGTCTTTCATACAGTAGTTTGCTGCTTGAATAGTCTGAAAAAATTTTAATTTTTAATTATCATTCTGGTACAAAAAAATCGGAGCTGTGGCCGCGGACGAAGGTTCCACAACGACAACTACCGTAACCTAAAAATATTGTCTACGTTTTCTGTCCAGACAAGACGGAGAATGAAAAAAAAGTTTGATAGCAAAAAGATGGTCAAAAAATTCACGAAAATCAAGATATGAAATCCGGGAAATTAACATATACGGTAGTTGTTGTGGGACCTTCCGATTTTCATGTACCAGAAAACAAAAATCAAACTTACAAGAAACAGAGCAGCCAGAAGAGCAACCGACTTGAGCATGACTTTAATTTTCTGAAAGATCCTATTACAAATGGGTGATCCATGATGACAATTCGTTCATTTTTTTTTCTCTTTGTCAGCGTGGAATCAGGTCCAAAAAATAGTTCAAAAGGTGATTCAGATTATTGCATGCGAGAGATGGGGATTAATGGGTCTACTGTTGATTTTTTATACTGTGTTTCAAAAACAAATAGGATGTTCTAAAATTCAGTTTTTCTTGCCTTTCTCGAACAAACAATAATTCAGTTTTTTTCAATTTGATAAAGATGGTACAGTAATTTGGGTTATTGTTAATTTCGAAAAAAGTTCGAAACAACTAATCGGTTCCCTAATTAATTTGTCTTACCTTCAACGGAATGCTCATTTTCAATTAACAACGAGAAGAAAATATTTCCAGTATTTTTTAAACGTGGTATGCAAAACGGATAATTCCAACTTTAAACACGTAGCTTACCTTTAAATGCATTCGTTTACAAGTTGGAAGACCAATAGTACTCATTTCACTTTTCTTCGAAAACTGAATGATAGAAAATATGGAAATTTCTTCCCTTTTCCTCAATAATTCGATTTATTGTCTTTCCCTTGATTCTTTCTTTTTTTATCACCCGTTTCCTCGATTATTGTCATGAGAAACTGCTCTTGTAGAAGATATTTTTCAGAAGTCCTTTATACATAAATATCATACACATTCTATTTTATTTGTTGAAGATTTATATTTTATTAATAAAATACATTTTTATGTTAGTGAGTCATATCAAGATCTGGGTTTCTTCCGTATCAACCTTAAAAGCCGCATAATTAAATACTCCGTGACCTATGTGCGCAACGTCATCTCACATACAGGCGGTGACACGTTTGGGACGTGGATTTTCTAGCGAGTTCTTTTTCTAGTAAAGTGCCTTACTCCTGACTGAAATTACGGTTCACAGAGTTTACCGTATTCGTTCTTTGCTGTTTTCATTGTTTTCGAGTTCTTCTTTTCATGAATACAGAGCCTGTATCGTTTCTTTTAGGGCTCTTGGTGTTCCTTTATGCTTGTCTTGTAGTGGCCTTTGCCACGACTTCTTTTGGTTTGTAATAAGCTGGTTTTTGTTGCAAATCGTCTTCTTTTTGTCGTTCTTTCCGTTCTTATCGTCTTCTTTTTTCACACACCGTTTAGTTTAGGTTTGAGTGGCGGGTAGTCAATCCTTAGCTACTCGTCCTATTCTATCGGACCGTTTTGGAAAGAGTGGTGAAGCAGGCAGTCCCTCGCTAAGCTATCTTTAAGCTTTACGAGTATTGTGAGAAACTTCACTGAAAGATCTACCGACAAAGAGAAGGGTTCCCTTACTATTAACTTTGAGCTAATTTTTCTTGGTTCCTGTGAAAGATATCAAAAAAAGATATCCGGGAACCGAGTGCCATTTTTCTCGTGAACTCATTTTTCCAATAGCCAAATTGTGTGACCCCCGTGAAAACCTAACGAAATGAGAGCAATGTACACAATTTAGAAAAATGAGGGAATAATCAGTATTAGTTTCCAACGGTCAAGTTACAGGATCTTGCAGGATCCGCTTGGCTTCCAGAGGACGGCGTCCAAGGCAGACTTCAGGATTGGTGTGATTTGATTCAAGGTGACAGAAAACGCAGAGTGAAACGAAAGGTGAGAAAATAGGAATTGATAAAGTTTCAAAACTTTTAAGTTGTAGGGGATGCTCGGACTCCAGGACAATCTTCAACAACTACGGGGACAGTTTGCAGAGCTCAGATTGGCACGATTCGAATCAGGACCACATATGCAGCGGAACTAAAAGAAAGGTGAGTAAATGTAAATTTTTTGAGTTTTCATATTTTCCCGGTTACGGAAATCTTATCTTCGGGGAAGTCTAGAATTTGGAAAACTAAAAGAATCGGTATTAAGCTAGAGATGTTTGAGTTTCAGAAACTGGTTGGTTTCTTGCACCACCTTCCAGGGATTTGAGGACATTATCAGGATTGGCAGGATTCACATCAAGATGACAGAAGTACCGGAACAAAATGAAAAGTGAGAAAAATTTTATTCGAAATTACGGGGCTACGGGAGTTGAAATTTCCAAAAATTGCTACAATTACGAAAAATTACTATTAATAGAATGGTAGCGAAAATGATTTTTAAAAAGTCATAAATATGTTTGATTTCAGGATCCGAATGTCACAGGAGAAAGGATATCGAGTCGCCGTCGTGATGTCAGAACTCTGTGAACTTTTTTTCCTTGTGATTTCTTTCTTTTTAGCTTCTTTTGCGCGCGGTTCATCTTTCGGCTATGATTTTCAGTGATGTCGTCGGGTTGTTGAAAGCAGGACACGGACAGTCCGTTATCCGTTGTCCGGCCATTTTTGACTGTTCTCCGTTATCCGTGTCTGTTGTCCGTTGAAAATGTTTTTGTTCGTTGTCTGTAGTCCGTTGTCCGTTTACCGGTGTCCGTTGTCCGAAATGTCTGCGTCCGTGCATTTCTGGTTCGTAGTCGTAGTCTTTGTTCTTCCAGTTTTTTTGTGTCTGTCCTTCGGTTGGTGTCCTTCTTTGTGCGAAAATTTTAAACAGCTTGGGAAACGTATTCGGACAGTGTGTGGTATCTTAAATAAAATTTAACAGAAAACCGGAAGCCTAAAAATGTTTCAATAAATTTAAAAACTGAATAAATTATCTTTCCTGGACGTTTTGTTTTCACTTAACTTCAGTGTTTCTCTGAACTGTTCAAAGTTGGAATCATTGATTATGATTGTGTCCGATGATTTCAACTGACATATGGATGTCCGAACTGTCTCATCACACTTCTCGAGCAGAATATGAGAATCTGAGAATATGAGAATTCAGAACTTCAGAATTTTAGAATCTCAGAATCTCAGAATCTCAGAATCTCAGAATTTCAGAATTTCAGAAAGTGTTTTGCGCATGAGATAATCCTGAAAAACGAGTGTTAAATCTGGAAAAATTAAAAATTATTTGGTAAAAATGTGGTACTGTAAATAACCCTTGTGAGAGCTCATATTACGATTCTGATTAGTTGAAACCGGTTCAAGCATGTTTAAAAGTACCATTTTACCAATTTCAGAAAATTCTCAAAAGACCTCATAAAAAGTACCCATGTGAGGAAATCTCTTTTCCAGAAAGCATAATTTTCAGAGAATTTGTATTTTTACAAAATTGGTTCATTCCAGTTAACATCTTCCAAATGATAGAAAATAAACAGTTGCTTGGAATTCCTTTATATAAGTCTTCGAGGAAATGTTTTCTCCACCAACCCACACATTTTTTATTCAAAAACAATTCTTCGTCTGTTTTGTATCTTCCCAATACCACAAATTCTAAAATTCCCTGCTATTATCAGCTCCTCGTCTCCCTATTTTCCATTACTCGAGCAGCAAAATTGGCAAGTTTTTTTTGAACGAAAACAAGAATAACTATACAACCAGTTGGTGAGGAAAAGAAACCGAAAACAAGAAGGTTGTCATGACATTTCTCTATTTTTCTATCCATTTCTCCCTATTCCCTTCTATTCCCTTTCAACCGGAAATCAACGGACTTACAAACCCTCACTCCTTCAATCCCCCATGTCCTTCTTCTTCTTTTTTTTCCATCTCTTTCTTGGTTTTGGGACCCCTTTTAGTGCTCTTTCTTGCAGTCCGTTTTGACTTTTCCTCCCCAAAATTTGTCGAGTTTTTTTTCTTCTGGTGACATGTTGCTGTCTTTGGTTTGCATAAGTTATGTGACATCTTGAAAATAGTGTGTAAGAAGTAGAGACGCCAGAGAAATGGCGGAGGGAAACGTCGAATTGTGAATGAGCAACCAAAAGGTTCTCTCCATGCTCCCGAGGAGGTTATTCATGACCAGATTTGCACTCAATTCAGAAGAAGAAAAGTGTCAAGATTTCAATTCTTTTGTTAGGTATACTGGGAGTGTCTCTCTATTTCAATAGGTTCTGCTTCCGTTAGATTCAGAGAAAATTTTTAGATTTCTCGAAAATAAAAGTTTTCAAAGCTTTTCCAGCAAAAACCGAGTTTCCCAGAATTAGACTTGTTTTGTGAGTAATGGACCAGAATCATTATGAATATTCGATTAAAAAAAAACCATTGGTCCGAATTCTTCTTTTCGAAACATTTAGGAAATTGTTCAGATTTTTAGCTCAGCAGGCAAATACGGTTTTTAGGAATACTAGAGTAGGTTTTTCATAAAGGTTTTTCGTGTAATTTTGGCAACATATGCATCGGGGAGAAAACTACCTTGAGCATTCTCGAAGGCCTCTACATTTTAACTTTGAACCAATTTATCTCGGTTCCTGTAAAAGATATGAGAAAGTGGTCAAATGATAAATTATTAATTATAAAGTCACCAATATTTTATTAATTGACAACTTTTTGATATCTTTCACAGGAACCGAGGTATATGGACTCAAAGTTGATGATTCCGGTTTTTTGCTGTCGTCCCGTTAATTTTTTTAAATTTGTATTTTGGGAATTCATGATGAAAGTATTCCTAAAGAACCATTTGATAGCAAATAACTAAATATTCTTGCTGATTTCTAACGATTTCAGGCAACAAAAAAATAATTCAAACATATTTTAGAAACCTAAACTTTATCATTTCTTATTTATTTTGGAGTCTGATTTTTAGAATTTATAAACCAAATGTGATAAAGAACCACCATATTTATATATACCCCAAAGTAATCTACACTATCTCATTCTCATTTTGAACCCAAGAACCAACTGGACACAGCACAAAAAAGTGGTTTCGGGAGAGGGGACGGAGAGAGCGAATGGGGTGGGAAAATGAGAATAGGTCTCAAGGGATCTTCTTCTTCTCTTTCTCCTCTATCTCCAGTTAAACTCTATTCTCTAATAGCTCCCAGAAGTCAAGTCTCTTCGTCTCTCTTCTTCTTCTTTTTACTCTTCCTTCTTCTTCTTCTTCTTCAAGTGAGAGCATCTCTCTGCTTTTCCCTCTTTTACTCTCATTTTCCACCAATTTTCGCCTCAAGGCAAGAGGAATACAAGCAGAAAAGAAGAAGAAGAAAAAGAAGAGCTCTTCCTTTCTTTTTCTTTCTTGTTTTTTTTTTCTATTTCATTGCACACCTATATCCTAATTTGAATTGAGTGTACAAGACCTTTTTTGTCCACTTTAAGATTCATTTATTTCCCATTTACCTCTCTTTTTCTCTCTTCATTTTTCCTTATTTTTCCCAGGGAATCTCCCTCTTCCTCGTATTTCAAATGTTGTTGACCACTAGTGTTCGTTCCTCTAGTTTCATTTTCCTGTTTTTTTTTGAATGAGAACAAGTGCGATCGGTTTTTCCTCCTAGAACATCAAGTTTCAGAAAAAAACTTTCTGAAAAAATATCTGGAATGTGATCTGAAAAAAAAACTCCACTTCTGAAATTGATTCTTCAATTTCCAGAAACAAACGTTTTCAAATTTTGTTTCAACTTTCTTCTGATATTCTCAAAGCTCATAAATCACTTTTTTAAACTCTAACTCACCTGAAAATTTTCAAATTTCAAGATTTTCAGTATGAAAAACCTATTCCTAATCACATCTCTTCTTATTGGCAGTGTGTTAGCCTTGGCTGGAAGAGGTAAACCAACCATATTCATATTTTTATTGATACCCTAAACCCATATCAATACAGGCTCCAAATCTGCGCTTGTTCTGGTTGCCGCTCGATCCACGGAAGCCCATCCAATTCATGCAACTGATCCAATCACCATTTGGTGTGCTCCTGATAATCCGCAAGTCGTAATCAGCAAAGCCACAATCATCCGACTCCGTGATAATGAGAAACTTGAGCCAACACTGAATCCAACCAAAAAGAATGCCACCTACACTTTTGGATCTCCGTCTATCAATGGTGAGTTGAAACACAATTGAAACGTTTTTTTTTTCTGAGACCTCGAGCTTCTGCGGAATGGTCATTAATTCTCACAAGAATATTAGACTAAAAACGCTAGGCATCAGATCGTGGATATTCTCATGTCTTCCGGTGAAGCTAATGTCTGCGGAGCCACTTAACTTCTGTCTGCTCATTTTAGGATGTGGTTTTTGAAAGCCAACTTCTAGAAAAGTATTCAAAATGGAATATCAAAACACAAGTGTTCAGTTTATCATAAATCTCTGGATTTCGTAATTTTTGACGACCCCGATTTGCGAAATTCCGTAAATTGCTTTCAAAGTACCGATAATTTTTTGTAGTTTCGAAAAATCTGAGATCTCAATTTTAATGAATCTGAAATGTCATAATCAAGTGCTGTGAACGTTTATATGTGTTGAAATCTAGAGTTTTGAAATCCAAAATTTTTCAAGAAATGATTTTTTTATATATCGCAAAATTTCGAAAATTTCGAAAATCAGAAATTCGGATATTTGAAAACTCGAAGCTCTGAAACTCAGAGAGAAAGATACCATATCGGTAAAATTTGTTATCTTTGCAAAATCCATATATCATAAATTACATGATACAGTACTCGTAAGTTATGAATTTCTAACTATTCCCATCTTCGAAGTCTTGAAATTCAAAAAAAAAATGTTTTAACATTAAAAATCCTAGTCGTTAATCACTGAAGCTCCAGATATCTGAGATTGTACATTTTGAGGATCCAAAATTTTTATTCTAGAAATTCTAGACTCCCAGATATTCCGGATTTTTGAAACATAAAAATCACAGTATCCGAATTTCTCTATACAAAATTAAATTTTTCTATAAAGAGCCCTTTATCGATAGAAAAAGTATGTTGTCCGAATTTTCCTATAAAACCTGTAATAGAAGAGCCCTCTAACTTCAAACTTTAAGCCAATTTATCTCGGTTCCTGTGAAAGATATCACAAAGTGGTCAACTGGCAAAATACTGATGATAACTTGATAAACACTTTGTCAGCTTGCCACTTTTTGATATATCTAACTGAAATTGAGATATATCGGCTCAAAGTGGAATCAGATGTTTGTGGCGTTCTATTAGAGTGTTTGCGGTATTTCGATAACAGTTCAGTTGACTTTTGCACTTTTATAGTTTTCATATTCGTATCTGATTTCAACCACAGAAAATCATCTGGAAATGAGTGAAAGTGGTTCTTCTTCTCCTCCTCTCTCAAAAACCTAAAACCTAACATCTGTTTCTCTCTCATTTCTTATTGTTATTGCAGACGCCGGCGAGTATAAATGCGAATTGGAGACACCACACGGAAAGATCAGCCATCGGGTTTCCATTTATTGTGAGTAAAACGGAAAGAGAATTCAGGGGGGAGTAAAAGATGAGGGGTCAGGTGACATTCTGTGAGGAATGATGAGTTTTGAAGAAACAGAAAATGAAAAAAAAGATTATTTACAGCCCGACCGATTGTTCATTCCCATGAACATTTCACTGAACATGAAGGGCATGAATTCCATTTGGAGAGCACTGGAACTACTATTGAGGTTTGTTAATCTGGCAATCAGATCATTCTGTAATTGGCCGATAGTAGTGGTCAATCAGAATATCAAATAGAAATCAGTCGATTCAGAAATTGGAAACTTGAGGCAGTGTCTTGATTTGGAATAGTATAGTTTCGAAAATCGGAATATCTCAATCGAAAATCGGAATATCTCATTGCTCCGAAATTTTTGTTTTTGAAAAAAAGTTACATAATTTACTATCAGTTTCGAGAAAAAATAAGGAAAATATCGGAAGAAATTCAGAAATTCGTAAATACGGAGATTCGAAAACTCAGAATTTTGGAATCTCCAAAGTTCCGAAATTCGGAAATTTGAAAATTTAAAAATTTTTATGTACGGAAAATAAAAAATTCATTCAATTAAAAATTGAAAACTGAAATCTCGGATTCCGAAAACCCTAATATTCAAGTTTTACAAAAGTAAAGCAGAAATTTTGAGATTTGAAAATTAAAAAATTGGAGAACTCGAAAGTTTAAAAATTCGAAAGCTCAGAAACTGAGAAATTCAGGAATTCCACAAATCTGAAACTCAGAAATGCATAATATCATAAAGTCCAAGTTCGGTAATTCGAAAATTCATAATTTGGTGAATCAGAAACTGAGCAATTAGATTTTTGAGACATTAGGAGATTCGGATATTAAAAAATTGAAGTTTGAATGTTTGGGAATTCAAAGCTTCCGAAATCTAGTTTTCCGTATTTCAGTTGTCTTTTAAGAGTTTCAAAAAAAATAAGAGATTCGAAAATTCGATAATAATCGTTTTCATGCTCCATCTTATCTTTGAATTTTAACAAATTTTCAGAAAGGAGAATCGGTTTCGTTGACTTGCCCAGTAACTGGATATCCAAAACCAGTTGTCAAATGGACAAAAGATGGAGCACCACTTGGTATTTCAAAACTCTCATGAACCAAAAATCATTAACATTACAAATTTTCAGCTCTGAGCAGTTCTGTTTCAATGGAAGGAACTACTGTTATCCTATCAAGTGTCAATTACACGGACGCTGGAACTTACTCATGTGAAGCTGTCAACGAGTACACTTTGAATGGAAAAACAAGCAAAATGTTGTTGGTTGTGGATAAAATGGTCACTGTCAGAAGTGAGTTAAATGGCTTTTAGACTTTTATGAAACTTTCGGAGTACTTGTACTTTGAGCTCAATTATCTCGGTTCTTATTGAAGATATCGAAAATATGTCAACTGATAAAATATTGGTGATTTTATGATAAATATTTTATTAGTTGAAAAAGTAATCGTATCTTTTACAGAAGTCGAGATATTTAAATTTGAATTAAAAGTGTAATGTGGCGTTCTAGTAGAACATTTACTGTATCATTCTGGTACAAAAAAATCAGAGCTGTGGAAGAGAAACACCGGTGACCGTAGTTCCACACAACGAAAACTACCATAACCTAAAATATTTTGTTTTTCAGAATATATTTTCTCGATTTTCGTGCGTTTGCAGTAAATTTTTTCCGACTTCTTTTGGGAAAATCAGTAAAAAACGAGAAAATTAAAACTGAAAACATTAAAATTAGAAATTTCAGGTTACTGTAATTGTCGTTGTGGGATTTTCGGCCATCTGAATTCCTTCAAATTTCAATATTTAAAAAGTCGAATTTTCAGGCGAATATCAATGGGTGTATCCACTGGCTGTCATTGTTATCACTCTGGTTCTGTTGACTACTATCATTATTTTCTGCGAATGGCGCAACAATCATGCTGCACGTAAAGCCTGAAAAACTATATCCAGTGAACCAAGCCAGGCTTCCGTTTTAGGCCCAATACATTTTTTTTCTTCTTCTTGCTCACTCATTTCTTTTTCACCCTTTTCTACGGTGTAAATACAGTCTTCCCAATCTTTTTTTTCAATGTCATTATTGTTTCTTTTCTTTTCCATATTCATACCTCATAGCGCCTTATGCCTCTGCATTTTTATCTCATTTTCAATGTCCCAATAAATACGAAGAAACGAAAATAGAACAAAAAAATCATGCAGCAGGAGGGTTTTCAAGAAAATTGGAAACGGGACAGACCAGAAAAAAATAAATCGGGAAAGAGTGAAGGAGAGGGAAAATAAAAAGCTATTATCTACAGAACATTTTCCAGATTTGTTCAGAGCGATGTAAAACGGGGAAAATGAAATGAATTGCAGTGCAAACCAATGGAGCAATTCCTGTTTGGAAGCAACAGCAATAAGGAAAACAGAAAAAGATAGGGAAGCGTTGGATGGATGGAAATGTGATTTCATTGTGACTCTTGACGTTGAAATGATTCTAAGCAAGAAATAGCCTTTTCATGATAGTGATTATGATTGAATTGGTGTTGTGAAAAATATAAAAAATAATAAAAGCTTGGATTAGGAGGATTACTTATGGGATTCCGAGATGAGTGATAAAACAACGGACACAATGTGTACGGGATGAAAACATGGAAAGATGATGTTGACAGAAATTGAGACATTCTTGACGACAGTTGATTACAGTAATCTCTTTTCCTTCTTTATTCGTTTGTGGCAGATGGTGAAGCAGCATCGTGATGCTGAAAAATTTTTTATTGGCACTGTGGAACTAGAAAATTATCGAGAATCTCGGAAATGACCACAAGCGCCGCCTATCAACTTCCAGACGAGTCATTTCGATCATTACGACAATAGTTATCAGAGAAGGAGAGAATAACTGTTCTCTTTCACTAAACGCTTGTTTATCAGCTATCTATTCATTGTTTAACTTTCTACCAAACAGCTTTAGTCCTTTTCCTATTGAGCGCACAAATCAGAGGCTGTCAGTTAGCTAACAGGGAAGTCAATATGCTCGCTCCCCCGTTCTCCTCATCCCCTTTTTTCTCCTGACTATTTCTCGCGCCTAACAGTCTAACTGATTTTTGTTTTTTTTTCCGGGCGACGATTCTGGTGCCACTCCAAAAAAGTTCGAACAGCATCTCTCACCTGTACATGCGGCGCTGGACTCAGCTTGCAATGCACACTTGGGTTGATAATCGACGCTTTTCGCTGAGGAACTGTGTCCGGACGAGGGATCTGGAAAAATTCGATCGATGAACCCTGAATTTGAAGAACCGTACCTGCAAATTGTCATCATCACTGTTTCGCTCAGAACTTGGACGATTGGTCTGCTGCGAAATCGGAGAAGCCGATGGAGATGGTGACGTAGCAGGAGCCGGACTCTTTTGAATCGCAGCAGGAGGTGGAGCTGGCGGTTGTGGGCCGCCTGCAAGTGGATGAGGCTTCGATCCTAATCCGGTTCCAGCCTTCGACTTGTCCATTGCGTAATCACCAGAATCGAAGAACTTCTGAAAGAAAGAACGGTAGAAACTACTATCTAACTTCGATTCTTATCATCTCATTATTAATGTGGGAGTATGGAAATGAGTCATTCTTCCGTTAATATGTATACGAACTCACCCTCTGTTGTAATTTTTTCTGCAAGAAAGAGCTGGCCGGTCGAGCAGGAAGCTTTCCAGTTGCGGCCAATTTGCCCATCAGTTCTTGTTCTTGCTGTTTTTCAGGCGACAATGCTCCGGTGGCGATCTCTCCACTGCTTACGGCTAACTCTCCTGCTTCTCCGCGCATTGTGACGATGAGTTTTGTTTTCAGGGGCACAGCTGAAAATGAATGGAAAGCGCTTGTTGTCCGACCCTAGTTCTGAAATGAAGACTATTGTAAAAAGAAGTGAAAAACTCAAAGAAAAAAGTCAGAGAATGTACTATGAAAGCGAAAGACATCGGTTGAACTATAAAGCGAAGTCCTTTAAAAACGGAAAAAATGAGTGAAGATGTGGATGATTTTGAACAAATGATGTTGAAAAAAGAACTCGTGCTGATCATCGGTGTAGGGTGTATGAAGAGGAGGCCGACAGAACATGGTAGAGAGGAATTGAAAACAAAAAAAAACATGGTGTCAGACACTGCGTTGTCTGTTTTTAGTCATAGAATCGAAAGCAACACATTTCTCGTCGTTTGTCATTTTTCGCTGGTCGAATTAGAGAGAAACGGATTTGGGCAGCTCTACTCTTTACCCTACAGATTTAATTTGCTATAACGGCGCTTTCATCATCATTCGCATCACAATGTGACAGCAAAACAACATTTGAGTAGGGGAAAAAGGACGGAACCTTTTATTGTCTATTCAAAATAATCGCG